GGGGGGGGAGGATTTGCCTGTGCCGTCTCTAATGCCTGAGACAAATCTTTTCTTTCTTAGGAATTCGGTTCCTAGATTTTAGCAAAATATTTTCAGCTAATACAAAGTGCTTTTGGTTCCACATGCTGCTTTTTGTGAGTTAATGTTGTGTAGAGCAATGCAATACAGAGTTTTTGCAAGAGAAGGAAGATGTAAAGTCTATTTCGTACAATCTTGCAAAGAGCACTTGCCATATTTTGTAACAGTATTAGACTATAATCTGTAAAGAAACACTATTTAAAAAGGTATTCAGAATTTCAGATTCTTTGAAGGGTAATACAGATTTATTGACAATTCAACTGTGAAAGCCCATGTATGAAGAATCTGAAATTATCTACAGAACTAATGTTATGTGAAGGTCGGTACTTGTTAATAGAAAGGTGTGATGATGCAGTGGAATGTCAGCAATAATCATGGTGATATCCTTTGCTCTATCGGCATGCATAATCTGTGAATTCCATGAAGAGGGGTCCATAAGTGGATTCCAATTTATTCTAATTGAAGTTGTTTTTTCTGTTGCTTCTTACCTTTCATTCTTTTTCACATTGGTGGGAAACAGGAAAAGGAATTTTTGACATTTAACTATCTGTCAGATTAAATGGCTGTTGAAGCTTTCTCAAATCCCTCAACTCATTGAAGTTCCATGCTTCTCTGAAGGAGCTCAGTCTTTTCTGCAAAACTTGATTGATGAATTTAGCGTGGATGATGCACTGGAAGTTAAGAAAATTGAGAAAGTCACAAATCATGATGTGAAGGCGGTGGAGTACTTCCTGAAACAAAGATGCCAATCACATCCAGAGATAGTCAAGGTATATATAGTTTCTCTAGCACATGTTGCATTATACTACAGTAAACTTCCATGCCATTCAATCAAGTAGGAAAAGAAGAATTAAAAAAGTATTAGTCTCTCTATCCCTAACCAACAACATGCATTTCTGCTTATTCTTCTTCTTGTTGTCTTATTTTTGTGGTAGGTGCTTGAGTTTTTCCACTTTGCTTGTACATCTGAGGACATCAACAACCTTGCCCATGCACTAATGCTGAAAGAAGCTTTGAGCAAGGTCATCTTACCCGTCATGGATGAACTAATTGCTGCAATCTGTAACGTGGCTACAACAAATTCTTCTGTCCCCATGCTTTCTCGCACCCATGGACAGGTAGGTTTATGCGTATGATTTCTCATTTGGGTGCATTTGGGAGCAGCTTTACAATAGTGCTTAAGTTTATTTTGGTAAAATATGTTGTGCTTTCATGCATGAATGCCATGGAGTATAGTTTGCTTTGCACAAAGGTTTTAGACAATTGTAATCTTCAAGAATTGCTATTCTTTCTGCATTTGTAGCCAGCTTCACCCACCACACTCGGAAAGGAAATGGCTATTTTTGCTTACCGGTTAAGTAGGGAAAGGCGAGATATCTCTCAAATTGAGATGCTGGGGAAGTTTGCTGGTGCAGTTGGAAACTATAACGCTCACGTGGCTGCATATCCTGAAATAAAGTGGCCCCAAATTGCAGAGGAGCTTGTGATGTCTCTTGGATTGAAATTCAATCCTTACGTTCCACAGGTATGCTATATAGAAAAAGTTTTGGTGATTCATCAAATAAGGAGCCAGGTTAGGTTACACATAGTTCAAGGCAATCTCGGAGTAGCTAATGGGGACCTATCCCATTTAAGCACTAAGCTACCTATTTCACGCTGGCAGGTATATTTTCTCCTCTCCCTCTATCTGTATCACCTTCCACAATTCTGCTTTATAATTTTTGCTTCTCCTTATTCGTTTGGTATCACTTGTACTTGGATTAAGCAGATTTGATGGTGTCATCGTTTTCTATACGAGGTAGATTCAGCTAGAGAAATACAATTGTTTTTTCTTTGTGTTTGTGAGTTCTATTGCTGTTGCTGCCTCTACGATTGCTTCTTGTGTCTCATATTCTTATTCCTTGCTGTGCTTGCTATTTTCAGCGGGACTTAACTGATTCAACTGTTCTGAGAAATATGGGAGTGGGGCTTGGACATTCTCTTCTTGCTTACAAAAGTGCATTGCAAGGAATTTCAAAGCTTCAGGTAAAAAGTGCAACTTGAAATGCTAATTTATTCTCTGGTAACTGTACCAAAGTCTAAAAAAAAAAAAATTGCATCTAATCTTCTGCCTGCAACTGGATTTATCTAGCATTCATGGTGTTACAGAGCTCATTTGCTGACATGCAGAATCTGGCATCAGTTAGAGAGATCAGCACAGACATTTTCACTTATTAGTAAACACATATATACCTTCTTGTCCCCCCACCCCC